ACACATCAGAATAATCTGTAACGGTGAAAGAGAAGAAGATGGTGGAAGATCGGACATATCTACTAACAAGGGTTTTCTCAAGTTCTCGTCTTTCAGAATCCAAGTGGCCTTACATGTATCCACAAGGACAAGATGATTCCTCTGAATCTAAGCTCAGAAATGGCAAAAGAGCATTGGAAGACGATGATGATGAGGTCAGACAAAGCAAATCTCTCAAATCGATGGGACTTATCAACGGTTCCAATGGAGAAGAACAATCTGATTCTAACAACAATGGAGATGGTGATTCACTTATCAACGATATTGGCAGGGACAATTCGATAAGCTGTTTGATCCGTTGCTCGAGGTCTGATTACGGTTCAATTGCTTCCGTAAACCGGAGTTTCCGGTCTCTGGTTAAGTCAGGAGAGATTTACAGACTCAGGAGGCAGAGCCAGATCGTTGAGCATTGGGTTTACTTCTCTTGCCAGCTCTTGGAATGGGTTGCTTTCAATCCTGTTGAAAGAAGATGGATGAATCTCCCAACAATGCCTTCAGGTGTTACATTCATGTGCGGCGATAAAGAATCGCTCGCTGTTGGCACTGATTTGCTTGTTTTAGGCAAAGATGATTTATCTTCTTATGTGATATACAGATATAGTCTTTTGACTAACTCTTGGACATCTGGTATGCCGATGAATTATCCGAGGTGTTTGTTCGGCTCAGCGAGTCTAGGAGAGATTGCGATCTTCGCTGGTGGTTGTGATTATCTTGGCAAAATCCGTGATGCCGCTGAGATGTATAACTCCGAGCTTCAGACCTGGACTACACTTCCTAAGATGAACAAACCGAGGAAGATGTGTTCGGGTGTTTTCATGGATGGAAAGTTCTATGTCATTGGAGGAATCGGAGGGAGTGACTCGAAAGTGCTTACTTGCGGTGAGGAGTTTGATTTAGAGACGAAGAAATGGACTGAGATACCGGAAATGTCGCCTCCAAGGAGCCGGGAAATGCCAGCATCCGCAGAAGCACCGCCTCTTGTTGCTGTTGTGAATAATCAGTTGTATGCGGCGGATCATGCTGATATGGAAGTGAGGAAGTATGATAAGGAGAGTAAGAAATGGTTTACTTTAGGGAGATTGCCTGAAAGAGCTGATTCGGTTAATGGTTGGGGATTAGCGTTTAGAGCTTGCGGTGATAGGTTAATCGTGATTGGTGGACCTAAGAATTCAGGTGGAGGGTTCATTGAGCTGAATTCTTGGATACCATCAAATGATCGAAGTCCGCCTCTATGGACATTGCTCGATAGGAAACACTCATCGAATTTCGTTTACAATTGCGCGGTGATGGGTTGCTGATAAAAGTTTTCGACAATAATATTTTTTGCAAATTTGAAATCAAGATTCTTGCTGCTGGGGAGTTGGAAAGTTGCAGTGTTTTTTCTTATTTATTTGGTTAAATTTTGTTTTTCTTTCAATTCAATTGGATACAATCAGCTTGGTGGTATTGTTAGGTTCTTGGAAAGAAAAAAAACAGAAACAGGTTTTGTAATAAATTGGTGGAAAAAGTTCTGATGCTAGAGTTTTTTTCAGTTCTGTTATATAAGTTGTTGAATTTGTTTCCTTCAATACAATGCTTTTACATATATCATTCTTTTTTTTTTGGCAAAAGAGAATTATATTGTGTTTGTGTTCTTCACTCAATTCACAACAAGAGAAGAATAAAGGCCTTTTAATCTTCTGCTTATAGTTGCAAGATATCTTGATCTTTTTGGCTTGCAAGTAATACCCTAAAACTTTTTCATAAAATTTCAACTTTTTTTGGTTCTCTGTTTTGGGAGTTTTGGTTCTCTATTGAGAAAATGGTTGCAATAAATTCTTTGAAAAGGAAAAAAAAAACGAAGATGGATTTACACATGAAAATGGCAGTTTACATCTGATTTAGACATGTAGGTTTCTGTCATTTTCGTTTGGATCTCTCAGTCTAATATAAACTAATGAGTAATTAGATCATAAATATTAAAAAGGACAACCACCTAACGTTTAGCTAGCTAAGCTTTACAAATTAAAGAGATATCAAAAGGAAAATGATCCAATTACCCATCTCTATTTCAAGTTTCAATATCAAACGTTACGTTCTAATAAAGAAAACTACGGTTACGAATACTTATAATCCAAACTCATATGTGATCAACTTTCCATCTAGTTTTCAAATCCTTCGATTTCACGTATTTTGCTGCAGTAAAAAGCTAGAAAATTTCGCAATCAGATTTTAAAGACAACGACAAAACTTGCAAACTATTGGTAAATAGCCAACACTGATGGACCATTATCATTTCAGAACTTAAACAAAAGAGTCACAAAGGCTTCAGAATACTGAATGTGTCCAACTAAAAACTTGAAAGGATAAGTAAAAAGTTTCAGACTGATTATAACTCTTCACCGAAGAGAAGAGAAGAGAAGGAGATTACAGTACTGAAACTTCAATAGGTGGCTGGCAAAAATGCACTTCCTGGCTGACGGTTAGCCAAAGGTCCATGACACGAGAGGAACTGCAAATGACCGAAACATTGTTCAATTCCAATAACAAAACATGTTTCCAATAAATGACTGTTACTGTTATTACAACCCAAGAATCAAAGTGACAAATTGATGAACAATTGAGACACCTACCTTAGCATTGACACCATCAGGAACGACACGCTTCTCTTGCCTCAACTTCGTGAAGTCTGCTCTGTTAAACTTAGTGAATCCCCTGAAACACAAAAGTCACAAAATCAAAGAGTTAGCTCTAAAACAGATCATAATTGATTCAAAAAAACCCATGTGAAAAGGATCAATCTTTGAAACCATACCATTTCCTGCTGACAATAATCTTTTGACGACCAGGGAACTTAAACTTAGCACGACGAAGAGCCTCTTGAGCATGGTGACCATGAGCATCCTTACAACGAACAGACAAAAGCACCTGTCCAATCGCAACACGAGCACAGGTACCCAAAGCTTTACCAAAAGCACCTCTCATACCAGTCTGAAGCCTATCAGCTCCAGCACAAGAAAGCATCTTGTTAATCCTCAGAACATGGAAAGGATGAACCCTAATCCTCAAATGGAAAGCATCTTTTCCTGCAGATTTCACCATATACTTGTTGCAAGCAATACGTGCAGCTTCAAGAGCTTCGCTCGAAACGTTCTCCTTCTCCCATGAGACCAAATGGACACAGAAAGGGAACTCATCAACACCTTTCTTCTTCATACCAACATCGTAGATCCTGATTTTGGGATCAGGCACACCACGACAGTACCGAGATTTCGGGTATGGCTTACCCTTGATCTGACGGTAACACCTAGCCGGTCCTAAAAACGATTCATATATTGTTTATCAGACACAAAATCAATGATTCTACTCCCATTTACGACTCAACAATCATTTCGTATACAGAAACCTTAAATCATAATCGGTGGGAGATAAAAGTAAGCTAAATGATCTATTGAATAACGCCATAAACCCTAGATCTTAAGCTACGAGAGATGAAGAAACTTACTTCTTCCCATGGCGACTCTCTCGTTTCCCTGCTCAGTCGAAAAAAGCGCGGCTGCTCGACGGGAAAAGACGAAGCCCTAGAAAGTGGATTAGTTTATATATCCGAGGTTTACTAGGTCAAAGAAAAATTTGGTGGTTGAAACTGATGGGCTTTCAAAGCCCAAAAGCCCAAATATATGAAACAGATTACGTACGGCCCATAGATTGTATTACCTCGTAGGGTTAAGCTTTTTACACTTCTCTAGAAAATTCAACATGGTTTTATTGAATGTAATATTTTTAAATGATTGGAAATTTAGAAAAAAATATGTTATTCAGTTAGGGAAAATGGTTGATTTATTCCCCAACTAATTGTAATTGACACTTTTATTCCTCAATTACGGTGGTTACAATTTTACTCCAGAATTTGTGGTTGACTATACAAATTAAGGATTAAAATAAGTCAACGTTTAATGATTAAACGGAAGACATTAGGTTTAGTTTAATTTTCAAACTAATTTTCCAGATTTTTCTTAAGCTCTTTGGTGATGTTCTTTCCCAAAATAAAATGTCATTTTAAGTGCAGTTCTGTAACTAGGTAAGGCTTGAAAGAACAAAACCCAGTTAACATCACGAAGGAGCTTAAGAAAAATCTGGAAAATTAGTTTGAAAATTAAACTAAACATAACGTCGTTTAATCTTTAAACGTTGACTTATTTTAATCCTTAATTTGTATAGTCAACCACAAATTCAAGAATAAAATTGTAACCACCATAATTAAGGAATAAAAGTGTCAATTACAATTAGTTGGGGAATAAATCGACCATTTTCCCTATTCAGTTACTGATAGTTTTTATCTTTTGAAACTAATAGTGTCATTCAGTTTAGGGAAAAACTCGATGTTATTCCATCAAATACTTTATAATCACAAGTTACAAATTTCAATAAATTTTTATTCGATGTCTTAAGTTACAAATCGAAAAATCTAAAGTGTATATTGGTAATTTTGAAATTCAAATTAAAATGAAACCACATAAATGCATATTTTAAATTCAGATAAACGGAAGTTGATCCAAAATGTTTTGAAACGTAAACTCTATTTTTATACTTTATTTCTAAATTGTGAATTGATATGATGAAACAATCTTGTTCGGTTTAATGTTACAAATTTTAGATTATGTTGGGATTGTGTCCAAGGCAAGGGTTGATTGAGTTGCAGGAGAGTGACAGCGTGAGCTACCCATACAAGCCGATGCAGAAAACTTTCTCTAATCCGCTTTTCCAAAATCATTCTAGAAGTGCCAGCAACAGTCCTAAGCGAGGGAATGAGTCTTCACAGGCAGGAGGAGACAAAAGGGTAATGAGTGTAACGGATAATAGAAGATCAAACCCTTGTAAATCTTGTGGAGAACAGTGGTTTCATG